AATTATTTAACATAGTGTTACGTTCATATTGCCAGAGATCACACTCCCAGAGTATGTGATGGGCCGACTGCTCGTATCGCAACTCCTCTGTCGAACATTGGCACCATGGTGAATCAATAAGTTTAAATGAGAACAATTTGCTTTTAAAGTTGCCGTGGCCAGTAAGAAATTGGGCAACACAGTGATCCACCTCCAACCATGTCCTCTCCAGCCGCTCATGCACGGATGGGAAGAACTGATACAGGTGGCGGCCCTTAATAGAAGATGCCCATCTACCCTGCCATTCAGTTATAAGCTCATCCCAAACGTCCGTTATTGGCTTAAACAATCTTGCAATTTTATTTCTATCACGTTCAGCCAGAAAACTTGCTGACAAATTAGGTCTCGCACTGTAGTACATAGCAGCTCGTCGCTGCACCTCAAGATCTACCGGAAGTACGCCCGCGAGCACAGGTAGGGCTTCAGTGCTGACCGTCCTATAAGCCTTACACAGGAAAATCAAGGCTAGACGCTGGCCTTGGAGAAGTTTTCGCCGTACCGCGCCTATTGTGGCCCTAGGAGGGTGAGCCTATTGCCATATAACGGGCACAATTTTAGACTCTGTGCGACTAGTGGGATTTTTTAAAAAAAACTCTGTAATTTTAAATTTGCCAGACCCGGGTATAGAACCCGAGACCCCCTGCCCGGTAGTCGCATTTGCGACCACTCGGTCGACGAAGCAGTCAAATTTGATAAAGTAGGTAAATTAAAATCTAATTCTTTTAACTCGTCGAGTACCGGTTTTATAGACACAATTAAAGAACAATAGGTCGCGGTCACCGGTGACCGCTTGGTGTTTGACAGTTTAAACGACTTCAAAAAATGGGTTCTCAGGTTGACTACCTGTAGTTTTTTTACAGTCGTAAGTATGCATGTATCCTATTACCACAGGAATAGCTGAATCGATTGTGATGCGGTTTTCAGTAAAGCATTTGTTACACTTTAGAGAAAATTTGAGTATATTAAGTTACCGACTTTAAAAAGAAGGGGGTTGAAGTCGGTTTTAAAACAAAATTTATTAAAGAATTATTATTTTATCTTTGCCATGATAGCTTTACTAATTTGCAAACCGTCGGCAGAATATAATGTGTTTATTGCCTCAGCTTTACCCGCAGATGATGTAAGATCAGACTAAGTGACAACACATTTTTGACAGAGACAGTACAGCAGCGCTATCTGATAAGACTGAACCTTCCAACCTACCTAACTTTGGGGCTCAATAGGGCTAATGCCGGTACGGAGCCGCGGAGGACTTAACAAGTTACCGGGGCTCCGGCTCGAAGTGCAGGAGTAGGAACGGGGAGGTTTTTAGTCAGTAAGTCGTACACTCCCTCCCGCCTCACCCGGGCGAGAGAAGTCATTGAACGATATAAAGAAAAAAAAACACACCTAACTCTTTTATGAAAAGATGTCCATAGTCCACATAGATTGTAACAAGTTGTTCGATTGTTCATGTGATTATGTTTTCTAAGTCATGACGTTTCACTCAGAGATCATTTTCAACTACTCCTCTTATAATAGTTTTACTTCTAACTATGGTGGCGTGATGTTGCAAGTATAATAGCCCAATTGTGCTGTCAGTCTCGAATTTGACTAATCTTTTTCACATTTCGCAGGAAATAAATATATGTGACCCGAAACATTCAATTGGTCGATAATTTTCCTCAAGTATAGTCGTTTAACGCCTGAATATTGAAAGGTTACTTAATTCTAAGTTGTACTTGAATATCGTGCCATCTTTGTTCTTTTTACAATGGCCAAGAGTTCGCAAATGCGACTAGGTACCCCGGTAAGAACTCAAAGTATTACTGGGTTTTAAAAAAAATCTCAGTAGGAACACAGAGTCTGAAATTATGCCCGGTATATGACAATAGGCTCACCCCCTATTACATGGGACTCATAACATAAATAGTGAAATGTGGGTGTTACATTGTAGGTACAGTGGCATTAAGTGCCGTAATGTGCACCTCTACCTATCACTTT